ATGAGACTGAGGACCACAGAGATCACCAGGCCCTTCCCCTCCCCAAATTAGTGCCTCTTTTTCTTTCTGGCAGACCCCAAGCACTGAGCCTGACTCTTGGCACGCTGGTCACTGGCACAGCCCCACGCCCCCTTCCTCTTCCCCCTACCCCGCTGCTTGGTTCCTTTCCCCAGAAATCTGGTTGTGCAGCAGGAAATAACTTCTCTGGCTCCCTCCTTTCTTATAGCATCCCAAAACAAGCCCACAGAGCATCCTTTTCACTCCAAAGGTTTACTGCCAATTCTGAAGCAAAACAGAGTGGGAGTGATGAAATTAACAACCGCAGGAAGGGAGGCCGTGTGGGCAGCCTTCCTCCGCAGTTTTATAGTCACAGTCCTAGCCCGGCCAGGGCTAATGCTCCTTTTGCCCTAAAGCCAATCATCCCCCCTTTTAACCTTCGCCCTTCTCCCCTCCTTCCTCAAACATCCTCCTCCAGGCCCTTAAACTGCCAACCGCCTACTTTCCCAACTTTGATTTATCTCTACCAGAAGGAATGCAAAGTTAGATCCAGCCCCACCCCCAATACCTTTTGAAAAAGTAACCCAAACACACCCAGGCAGAACTCCTAGATTGTGAGGCACTCAAACCCACCCAGTCCCAGGCAACAGGCACAGAGACACACATCCATACACTCAGAGACAAAGCAAGGGCCCACGCCAGACACCCTGCAGGTTCTCACACGCGGGACAGACCCACGGACACGGTCAGGCACACAGGCCAGAAGCCTGCCCTGCGCTGCGAGCCATTTGGAGTCTCTTTTGAGAAAAAACACTTGGCTCCAAAGAAGGCTCCTGACAGGGCTGTTTTTTTCAGAGCGGCTGGATAAATTGCTTTTGAGCAAAAATAAACACAAGTGAGCTGCATTAGCTGAGCGAGTGACACATTAGTTACAGATGCGGGGCCTGTCAGAACATCGAGGGAACAGCTTTTATTGGGGAAGGGCCGGGGGACTCATAAATAACCTCTTGGCAATCTCGCATAAACATTTGTGCGCTCGCATAAACACCGCCTACCACAAATGCTGGCCCTGCTGCCGCTCGGCCTGGGAGACCCCTCTCCCTGTCCCCTGAGAATACCGCGTGGGGGGGAAGGTCACAGGCGCCTTTTCTCCCATAGTCCCAACTCCTTGGACTCAAGCTCTGTGAGCTGTGGGACGGAGGGAGAGATCCAAGCTCCATCCAGAATGACTGCCAGAGAAGGGGAATCGGAGCCCAGCCCCAGTGGGACAACTGGTCGACTTTCCTCCCTCTGCACAGAATAGAAGAATAGGAGAGAATAAGATATGTCCTTGCAATGGGGGCTGGTTACTAAGGAAAGCCAAGTGAGGAATTTAAAAAGAGCTTGGAAATGCCTCCTTGGATACAGCTCCAGTGGGAACATGGCATGAGGGCAGCACCACCCTCACTCCAAGGACAAAGGCCACAGAAGGCAGTACCAGCCTTGTCCATCCATCCAAGGCACGAGGAGCCTAGGCTTCCTCCCATTGGTTCTTGGAGATGCCCTTGCCTTGGTCCTGGGGTTCTCTCCTCTGAGTCGAACCTTCCAGAAACACGTTGTCTAGTTGATCCCAGAAAGAAGGGCAAAACAGATGGTGTGAACTGACACAGTCTGTCCTCTCTCTTTCTGTGGCACCTGCCAACCCAGCCAGCACTGGTACCCTCATCCTGCACACCTCTCCCACATAACATCCACTCTGTAGAAGGTATGAAAAATAGTTAATGGCCGTGTGTGCTTCATTCTCATCCCTCTCCCTCCTCCCCATCACAAATGTTTAAGGAAAGGGACAAAGTATGAAGTGGTTAGGATTTCAAGCAAATGGCTAACGCTCAACATTTTTGTTGAATTTTTGAGGCAGCTAAGAGAAGGGAAGAGTTGGGTCCCTTTCAGGAAAGGGAATATGGAGAGAAAGACAATGTTCTCTGGCCCCAGATCACATTACCGTGATTAGCTTCAAAGCCAGCTCCGTCCTCCCTCAGCTCAATTAACTACCCATTGGTCCTCCCCTTTCCACCATATCAAAAGCCCTAGACTGAGTGGCCTTGTCCTTTGTCCGTCATATTTTTTTTTAATGGTAAATACTACTTTTATTCTTTTATTATTATTATTGATTTTTTACAGAGAGGAAGGGAGAGGGTTAGAGAGTTAGAAACATCGATGAGAGAGAAACATCTATCAGTTGCCTCCTGCACACCCCCTACTGGGAATGTGCCCGCAACCAAGGTACATGCCCTTGACCAGAATCGAACCCAGGAACCTTCAGTCCTCAAGCTGATGCTCTATCCACTGAACCAAACCGGTCAGGGCTGTCATATTTCTTGATCTAGCCTCACCCACCCTTCAACCAGATTTCCCACTCTGCCCCTCATGAACCTAATGGTCCAGCCCAACTGGACTCACTCCATGTGTCACAATTTTGCATGTTCTCTTACCATCAATTTCTCTTCTGAGAAGGCCTTTTCCTTCCAGTTCTGCAGGTCCAGATCCAGCCCATCCTTTCAGACTCAATTCAAAAGCCATCTCGTCATTCTCTCCTTTGAACTCTGGGTGAACTTTTCAGTATCTTGTTGCCGACTTCCCTTCTTGTTCTAAGTTATTTCTTTATCTGGCCTATTAGCTCTCAGATCTGTGCCATACTAATCTTTCAGGTTTCCCTCCCTCCCAAGCCCTAGCCCCTGCCTGGGAAATGGTAGGTGTGTTGAATCGATGAAGGAATTTGTTGATGGTGTCTGGATTCATGGCCATGATAGGGGTGGGGATGTGGTGGGGGGTTTGTGAGGAGGGAGACAGTGTCGTGGAGGAAACTGGCCAACAAGTCTCTCCCCCGCCTCCCCAAAGCCCCACTCTTGGCTTTCACTGTGCAGTCCCACCACAAGCAGAGCTGTGCTGCTTTGGAAGAGAAATTAAAATGCCAGGCAGGTACCGACAGCCAAGCACCATAGCTCTATTGAATAAATCTCCGCCGTCTCGGCCCCTTCTTCCCGTCAGCAAATGGAATGCTTTATGAGGAAATACTACAAAGCACAGCCCTAGATAAAAATATTGAAGGCTCTTTGGCCAGGACATCCCTCAGGAGGGAACACAGTGTAGCCATAATTTATTGCTTTCAATATTTTCGTTTCCAATCTTATTTTTATAGACATTATTTCATAGGCTGAAGCTTAAACACAGATGGAAAAGATTCTGGCTTTGTAATAAGAGACGGTTTATGGCAGGCCAGCCCACTGCTCTCTGTTTGTGTGTGAATAAACGCATATTATCGTGTCCTTAGGTGGGACCCGGAGGTGCCTGTATTAGGTGCTTGGACTTTGATCCAACAGTTCTGCCTTCATCTCTCCCCTTGGCCAGGCCCTCCGGATGCTCCCAAGGGAAGGAAGTGACAAACACCCTTGTGGGGCAAGGCCAGGGGGGATGGGCAGCCTTTGAAATGCATTCCTGGCTCTGGCTGGATCCGCCATTCTTTGGGTCTTCAAAGGGCCTTGACCCAGGGACTCAGGCCTAGACCCCAAAGAGCATAGTTGAAAGGAATTGGGCACTACAGTGTTATATACATGACTCTGTGTTGTGTGATTTGCGTTGTCTTTTTTTTTTTTTTTGTGGGGAAAGGTTAGAGCTCATACTGCCTACGATGCCTTATGAGCTCTCTTTCCTCCACAACATATCACAGGGAGTTTCATGTCAATGAACATTCTTAAAAACGTGATCTGGCTTATATGTTCCTAGTGTGTATCTACCAAGGTTTGTTTAATTGACCTCATTTAGGTTGGGGAGAGAGAGCACAGGAGGGGAGAGAGAAATAGAGAGATCTAAGGAGGAAAAAGGAAGAAAAGGAGAGGGAGAGACAGAGAAGAAAGTGGGAGGAAGCATCACTCAGAGCAGAGCAGGGGGTTGAGCCCCCAGGAGGACTCCCGGCCCATCGCGAGTGTCTTGGTTCAAGGTGTGGCCCCCACACATCCATAGATGCACTGCTGGCGGGCAGCAGGCCTCCCGGAGCTTGGGCAAGCAACCTTGAGGACATATTGTCCAGACCTCCCTGCTTTCCTCATATGGTTAGTTTCCAGCCAACTCTAAAACGCCCTGGGAATGTGTGTCATGAAACACTGGGGACTCTGGGCTGATGAGGGGAGTAGGAGGAAGGAGCAGCAGCGCCATTCCGCTGGGAGGGTCAGTGGAAAGGGAATGCAGGGAGGGCCCCTGTGGGATCTCTGGGAGGGTAATCTGTCCAACCTGCCGGTGAAGGAGTAGCTGTGTGAAGTGAAATGTTACGATGGGCCAACCACAGGGGTCTCCACCCACGGCCAGCCTGTCAGGAGAGCTGGGAGTGGGGGTGGGGAAATGGCTCTCCTCGCTCCCTGGCAGAAGTGATGTCTTCGGTGTTCATTGTACAGACTTCTACGATTCTAGGGGAGACCTGAAGAAATGGTGATCCACACCTGGAAAGCCTCCCACCTTCACGGGGCCCAGGGTTCACCCACATTTCTGCTCTGCAGGTGGCAGGTCACACCTGCACCAGGGGCTTGGCGAGGGACTGCAAGCTTTGAAACAGGAGTGGGTGCAAAATCTGCTCAGGCAGCAACAGGTTCAGGAAGATAGTGCCTACCAGCTGGGCTGCTTGAGAAATCCGGCCCAGGTGCCCAGCACAATAGACTAAGTAACTGAATTTCGCAAAAGGTTTTAACCGGGTGTGGAGGGCGGGCTTCCTTCTGGCTCCCTCCCTTCCTTAAGGAACCACGCACTCTTCCCCCCACCCCAACTCTAGAAGTCCTGGTGGGCCATCTGTCCATCCCAGGACTCCCCAACCCTCACCCCTAAAACAGTTTGAGCCCTATATCTCTGCCCTTGGACTTTCCAGTTGTGGCGCCCAATACAGCTTTCCCGCCCCCCCCCCCCCCCCCCGCACCACCATCCAAAAGCAGTGCTCCTATGAAGTCTTTCCTAAGCTGAAATGGCAGGATGCGAAGCAATTACCACTAACTTATGTCTTTATTTCACCCCCCACGATGAAAACACTTATGTCCAGTTTTATACTGGACATTCATTATACCCTTATGAGCTCTTTGGCTTTTCTGATATCTTAGGACACATCTTGTTAAGGGATGTGCGCAAAATAAATCGAGACACAGTTTAAAGCTACGCGGGGCTCGACGCCGAGATGCTGAGTGTAGTTCCCCCGTAACGAATTCGGTGGGGCCACTCTTGCTGCTCCGGGTGGGCGCTGCCCCTTTAATGCCTGTTGCAAAACAAAAGTTAAATGCTTTTCGCCTTTTTTCATGAAAGCAAAAATCCCCTTCAAATTTCTTTTGGTTATCAAAAACAGGTACTAACCAGTAATAACTATGTATGGTGTCAGATGGGTACTAGATTTATCAGGGTGATCACTTGGTAAGATATAAAAATGTCTAGTCCCTGGGTTGTAGTATACCTGAAGTGAATATAATATTGTACATCAACTGTAATCGAAAAATTATTTAAAGAAAACAGGTACTAACACAGATCTTTCGTAAAAGCAAAGTGTATAACACAAACTTTTGAAAACTAGGGGATCCCTGTATGGGTTTTTTGCTCTCTGCATTGGCCAGTCACGTGCAGCTGACAATGACTCAATTGCTACACCAGGCTAATAACTGACCATGAAATGTGCTGCAAACCAAAGAACTAAATCAGAGTGAGAATGAATCTTCCAAGGGGCCGACTTCCACTGACCTTCAGGAAAGAGGCACAAGAGGCCTTGGCCAGGCCGGTACCAGGCACCAGGAAGCAGTAATGCCCTGAGAGGTAGGCAAGAGGGGCCCCACCAAGTTCCTTCCCGGGAACTACACTCAGCTCTGAGGCCCACACTTCAGAAGGCCCACATTGCACACACATGCGCTGCACAGTTAAAGAACACGTGGATCCCTCTGTCCCTGGGGATCCAGCACTCAGCACTAGCACACTATGATCACTAACTCTGGACATCCACTCAGATGTGTAACACCATCCAGGCCCTAGGGAATGCTCCTCCACATCCTTGGTGTTCTGTCCTTGAATCGAAAGGAGACTGTGTCTGAATGCTGTCAGAACGCATGGGTCATGCTGCTACTGACCTCAGAGATGGGCCTTGCTCTGGAGTGTGGGAGGGATTGGATGGTGGAAGCACTGAGGGAAGAGAAAAGAGATTAATTGATCAAATCCTTCCTCTCAGACAGCAAGAATGCAATGGAACTAACATGTCCCAACAGTGGCAAGCATGAATCGTCTTGCTTCTCTTAGTGGTTCCAGAGGTACTCGCAGATAAGCACAGCATTTGCTACAGTTGCACGTGGCAGCTAAGGAACATTTTCCAATATAAATAATTCATAATTCTCCTACGTTTGCGCAAATGCAGGTCAAGATGTAACATGCATGAGGTATGATGCCAATTCTTTACATTGGCGATTAGACATGGAACAGTGATAGAACTGTGAATGACATTTTCAGAAAAATAATGAGATTTCATTAAATTTTCAAAACCTGAGGTACAATAGGGGTGAGGTCTAGAGTCAAATGCAGGTTCATCTGGCTGGGGCCTCAGCTGGGATGGCTGGAACACATGTAGTCTGGCTGACCATATTGTTTTCTCCAGGTGACCTTTCCACATGGCTAGCTTGGCTCCCACATAGCACGGCAGTCTCATGCTGAGAAATCAGACTGCTCACATGCTGGCTGGCCCATCCCAAAGTGAGCATTCTAAGACCCAGGCAGAAGCCAAAAGGCTCCCTAGGACCTGTCCTCAGAAATCATGAAGCATCACTGTCACTGCTTTCTATTGGCCAAAAGTAAGTCACAAGGACAGCAGGGTTCAAGGCCATGAATACCAGGAGATGTGGTTCTCTGGGTGCTAGCTTTGAAGACTAGCTACCACTGTCTGCCTGCTGGTACCCAGTGAATCACAACCCTCACACATTCAAAAATACACTTACCCTCCAAGACCCCCAAAGTCCATCTGCAAAGTCACCAGGCTTCGGCTCCGAATCCAGGACCTCGACATCTAAATCAGATCTGGTGCAGAGGAGGCCCCTCAGGTGTGGTCCCTTGGAGAATCGTTCCACTAGATCTAAAGATCTGGGAATTCAAGAGATCAGTTAACTTCCCCCCAAACCCAACACACAACAAGGAGGTAGGCACCGGATAACAGCAGATATTCCCACTCAAAACGGAAGAAAAAAGTGTGCAGAGCAATTCTAAAAGCATGCCAGTTCCTTCCTGGGGACCTGGTCCTGCTCTCTGGGAGTGGTTGTCCATGGCTCTTGGCTTCAGACTCTGAGTTACCCTTCCTTTTCCAGATGAAAGGGTCAGTATTAGCAACCAAAGAGACTTCTCAGCCTGCTTCCTGCCCATAAAATAGGTCTCTTTTCATTTTGAATTCTCTTAACCCAAGCTGATATAATTCTGTTAAAAACATGTGGGTTTCTAATATGTCATATTATAATCTACTCCATAGACAAAAGTCGCACCTGCATTTGTTCCAGAAAGGCCCTTCCCATCTGTGGGATTCTTAGTCCTGTTGTCCAGCAGGGAAGATCTAGGAAGTATGCCCTTAACCTTCTTAGAAGCCCTGTGTCTATCCAAAGGGTCTAAAGCAAGCATGTCAAACTCAAAGCACGGGCCAAATAAACAAGGTTTAATTTTATGTGGGTCCAAAAAAAACACAAAAGCTTCAATTCTCAATGTATAACTTTGGTACACTAATAGCATTATTACATATCAAGCAAATTATTTTATTTTTTTACTTCACAGCAAAAATACTCCAATTCCCACTTTTCTTGGAAATTTCGATGTTCGTCAGCAATTTTTCGTTTATTTTCACTACCACTTGTTTTCGATAGAGACATGCTGAATACAAAGAGCTGCAATAAATGAGTAATCGTTAACATAAAATAATAGAACATTTTAATAAAAATTAGTATTTTTTCTTGAACATTAACTTACCAGACACTGAATAACTGCACAAATTGATAAGCGTAATGCAAATAAACCTATTTTTCTTGTTCTCCGAAAGCGAAATATTTCCTGTTGCGCACACCAAAAAGGTCAGTCCAAGACTAATGGCGTGGCAATCGGCTGCTAAGATATTCGATGCTGGTATTAGTGGAGAGAAATGGTGCACCTGAGCGTAAGGCACGTAAGGTACGTAAGGGAAATGAATGCAACACGAATATAGTAATCAGTCATTAGTGAACATTGTAGTTCATTCATAATCCTATATAATAAAAGGGTAATATGCAAATAGACCAAACGACAGAACAACCGAACCAATCAAAATGTAATATGCTAATGATATGCTAAGGCTGCTCAACCACTCGCTGTGACATGCACTGACTACCATGGGGCAGATGCTCCAACCCATAGGTTAGCTTGCTGCTGGGGTCCGGCCGATCGGGACTGAGCGAGATGGGCCAGACACACCCTGGAGCCCTCCTGCGGTCCCTCCTTGGCCTGATCGTGCACCGGTGGGCTCCCTCAGCTTGGCCTGTGCCCTCTTGCAATCCAAGACCCCTCGGGGGATGTTGGAGAACTGGTTTCAGCCCAATCCCACAGGCCACTCTCCTTGGGAGGGCACCAGAAGCAGAGCTCATGGCTGGTGAGCACTGCTGTGGCAGTGAGAGCCTCTCTTGGTGGGGACTGATTGGGCACGAGCCTGGCGGCAGGCACAGTGAGGCTGGGATGAGCGGGAGTGGCAGGTAGGAGCTGCAGGTGGCATTGGACTGCGGGTTTTGGCCCCGATCCCTGCAGGGCCACACAGAGGGACCCCACCCGTGCACGAATTCGTGCACCAGGCCTCTAGTTATGTATAACAGGATATTGTAAAAATTAAGTTACGAAATTTTTTATTAAAATGTTTTTTACATGCTGTTATATTGGCTGGGCCGCAAAAATATTCATTGTGGGCTGCATGCAGCCCACGGCCGTGAGTTTGACATGCTTGGTCTAAAGGCATGCCCTTCAATTTTCCTGAGGCCTGACCAAAGGGTCCTACAGTCACATCTTGACCTTATATTTAACTGACAACATTTTACTGGAAAGATGTGGGTGTCTGTGAAGAAGATGCAGAATAGCTGGTGATTACATGTGCAGGCTCTGAGGCCAGACTGCCCAAGTTTACCAATTACCAGCTTTGCGACCTTGAGCTGTCACTTCTCTGTGACTCAATTCACCCATCCGTTAATTGGGATACATTACAATACATACTTCATGAAGGTGTTGTAAGGATTCAATTGCTTAATCCTCTTGTATAGTGTTAGAACAATGTCTACTGTGTAGTAAATTTCCAGTGGGTGTTAGTTACAATTTCTATGTGTGACTGGATACCCACATCTACAAGGGTAGGTTCAAGTGTTTATATGGAAAGACTGATGGGTGTCTGTCTGTCTCTGAGTTTGAGAATGTACACATCTGAGTGTCTGTGTCTCTCTGTGTGTGTTTGGGTGTAGGAGACCTTTCTGTGCATCCAATGACAACAACAGCTGGCACTCATATCATGTTTACCATGCCAGGCACTATTCTAAGAGTTCTACAGGTATTCATGTGGACACACCCGTGAATGTGAACAGCTGAGCACGTGTCCAGATATGTGCCGGCGAGTGCCTGTCAGTGGGGCGTGTTGGCCCTGTGTGGTGAGACTCCCTTCCTTAGTGGGCTGTGAGCGAGATGAAGACTCACACCACGGCCTGCCTGACCACAGCACTGAATGGGGCAGGGAATACCCACGACCCACCGCCTTTCCCAGGCTCCCAGGCAGCTGGAATCGCCTGGGTCTCTTTTCTTTCAACAGGAGAGGGCAAACGAGGAGCCTGAAGAAGAGCCCAATCACAGCCTTGCCTTCCTTCTATGGCAGCCCTGGTCTTGCCTTGGCCCCAGGGAGCTCGGGCAGGATTCCGGGGCTGGGCCATCTTTTCGCAGTGCGTGCCATTTTTTGCCAAGTGGCATCTGTTTCTGACTCACTGCTTATCCTCCCTGGGAGGACAGAGCCTAACAGGAGCCAGATAGTGACTGTCCCTTGCAGATAAAGCCTTCACATTTGACCTGTTATGTTTCCTTTGCTTCCATTATCCGATGCTGGTAACATTTCAAGCATAAAAGAATATTTGAAATTTTATGAATGTGCGTTTCTTTCTCGCCTTTTTGCGTACATGGCCTTCGTCTCCCTGGGCCCCAGGCATCCCTTTCTGCCTGAGGAGAGACTAGGATGAGGTTTGACTCGGGCAGAATGCGCAGAAGAAAAAAATGCAGAAAAGCTTGGCATCTGACGTGCAAAAGAGGACTGTGTGGCATCAGAGTCTCTAGACCAGCTATTCTCTAGGGAGCACGTTTTCTGGATGCCTGCATCTCTCCTTGGGCGTGACCCTGGAGTTTCATGCAGTGGATGCCCCGGCAAGAAGAGGACATGCTTCAGTTCACTCCTTCCTGCCCAGAGGATGATGGGAAGGGACTTGAAGGAGAGCAACAAGGGGAACCAAGCAGTCAGATCGGGCTTTGCTCCAGGAAGGAAGCCCGGGAGGGAGGGCTCTGCCCCAGTTTGGGAGGAAACAGCGTCTCAGGCTGCTCCAACGGAACCCACCCAGCCTCTGCTGCCAACACCAGGGCTCCCGGGTAAGGCAGAGAAGTCTCAGAAACTCAGCTTCACAAGCCAACTGCAGTTCCCACAGGCCTGGCTGCCAGGTTGTGAGACAGCAGGCCAGCCAGGGCCACAGGCACAGCAAGGAGACCCGCAGGACAGGAGGGGGCGCTGTGGGAGGCAGCCAGGAAGCACCCAGGTGCAGAGAGCTGGTCAGCTGGAGCATCTCAGGGCTCTGGCCAGACCAGGAGGGACTGTACCATGAGTTACACAACTCAGCTTCAAGTGCAGTTCATGGCCAGCTGGGATGAGGGATTTGCCTGGAAACACGAGGACACCACACCCCAGGATCCCAACTCCTCGCTCCTGCCAGATGTCGCAAAGGCTGCCCATGTCTGCCCGAATAACTCAGCACCATCTTGGTGGGAGAAGCTGGAAAGGCAATCTGAGAACTGAGCACTTTTATCCAAGAGAAACAAAACATCACTTAACAGGACAGGCTATACTGCGGGTCTCACGACGTTCACATGTAGTTGAACACTTCATTGTTTTTCTCACTGCTCACCCAGTAGGGATTGGGAGAATCGAAGTGTGAGTTAAATTTCTGCACAGATGAATCGAAGTGTGAATTAAATTTTCATTCTTGTCAAGAGGACCCCTTTGCCCCCCTTGAAATGTATTTCCAACTAAAGACGATGACCCTAGCAGAGGACAAGTCCTGGCCTCTGGACCCCAAATTGCCTCCTCCAGGTGGTGTGGGACAGGTCATGGCAGAACAGGAGAAGGTTTGCGTTCAGCCGAGTGCTCACTCAGCCTTGTGGAGCTCATGCACATTGGGTCCCCTCCCCCTGGCTTATCTGTGCTTTGTTGAGGGAAAGAACAAGATTTTAATTCTCTTGCTGGGCTCTTCCCATCCAGGTCATTGAGGTTCCTAGTCTTGGCTACTGTCTCAGAGGCCATTGAGATCCCTCCTTCCCCCGGGAAATAAGAATGTGGGAAATGAATTGAGTGAGGTTCAAGATCCTACACGGTGTCGCTGGGAGTGGGGAGGGAGGCGATGCCACCACAAGAAGAGACAGCCCAGCTGGGAAACCGTACTCCACAGGCCTTGGGTGCAACCACTTCAGATTCTTACACTCAGATGACTCACTTTCTTTATCCCAAAACAGCACCTCACCTATTCCTTCACCTGCTCATCTGGTTTGCTGGTTGGAGCAAGATCATCATCCCATTTTGTGGATGAGAAAACTGATACCCAAGAAAAGAGCAGGATGCTATCTGAAGCCATGTGATTGGGGATCACTTGAAGGCAACATTTAGTCTCTTGCCTCCCAGACAAGAGCTGTATCGCTGTCTCCTCAGTGCTCAGATTAGGGTGTCTTGGGAAATAAGAGGGGCCCCTTTATAAACAAGGTTGATAGGGCTATCCCCAGCATCTAGGGAGATGGTATGAGGAGAGGAGGGGGCATCTACATCCTCCTGCTGGGACTGAGGCGACTAAGGCACC